AGCAAGAAGAAGATGACGCAGAAGACCCAGTGAAGGAGGGAGACAAGGTGAGACCAAAGTCAGGTAGCCTTTCAAGCACGAACCCTCCAACAACGATCAAGCTTCCGGTTGAGCAAGAAGTTGATGAGGTAGACGGGCAGGAGGAAGAGCAGCCACCCATCGACAGTCCCAGTGATAGTACGAAGGGTCTTTCAATCAGACCTAGAAATGATGTGGCAGCTCAAGATGTGGCTGAGAGAAGTCTAGGAGCTCCAGAGCACTCCAACAATGCGGAAAGCACATAAAATCCGACTCCATGGTGAGTTCTCCGCCAAAGTTGCTAGGAGAACTAGAGCTGCAACAAATTGAGAAGAGACAATCGGATACTCGTGACGATGCGAGCCCTTCCAAACAGACAATCAGTAGCTTGGGCCTAGCAAGATGTGTTCCGCCCAAATTGCACATTTGTTCAGGCATTGGGCAGTTCATGCGGTTTGTGACATGGTTTCACCAAATCCGAGAGACCGTGAGGCCGCCATTCCGACAGTGAAAGCTAGCCGCTGCGATGCCTTTCAACTTCCTCTGAATTCATGCGGGCAAATTTGTTGGTTTGATGTGTTTTCATGTTTGCACGAGACTTCAAACTACAGGCATGCAAGGTCTGTAGGACTGTGTGACGATTCAGTGCTTGAATCCTGGCAATGTTTTGGGCGTTGCTCATCTTGGCGTCACAATGTGGCTCAGGCCTGTATGTTCCTGTATTGTTGTCAAAACCAAAGAGCATTTTTCACACACCTCTTACATCATCTTACATCGACAAGATTCCTCAGATCGCCTCCAACGCAGAGTTTCACTGTGGGTTTCGAAGCAGACAACGCGTTTCGGATTTCAGTGGTGACATCTCTCGGAAGGGTCAAGCAACTCGGGATTGTGTGAATGTGTAAGTGCCACGGAGGCGGGTCATACCAGTGACGGACGACGGCAACAGCCAAGAAAAAGGGTAGTTTGCTGCGAGAATTCGCTTCAAGCGCTTTATTCGATAGTTTGTTTTGTATAGGCATGGTGTGCATATGATGCCTTCACATTCAGGGGATGCCTCCAAAGTCCCCGGTGTCTTCAGTCTTGATTGCCAGAACCTGAAGCAAATTCAGCTGTTTTGGTCTCATCGCCACCGGACAGCTGTGACCATTTGTTGCTGTACCACAGGAGTGGCACCGCAAGAGACGATCCGCTGGTCTCAAAGGGTGTCCGTTGGAGTTTTTACCTTAGAAAGTGTTCAATGGATTTTTGGATGATTGAACATCGACTATTCTCCAAACAGGGATTTTGAAAGCAGATTCGCTTTCTATTCGCTTTGCGGCCAACAATTGCAAGACAAGTGTGCCGGCTTTGGAAAATGAGTATAGCAGGTGCAAACTGTGATCGAAGGCTGGTCGAGTTGCCCCCTGTTCAAGGCAAAATGAAAGTGCAGATGGTGAGAGCAACTTTGCCGCTCGGCCTCTTCGCTTTTTGCTTGGCAAGCAAGTTTGAGGACAAAGTCTAAGTCAGTGTTCTCAAGACATGCCGTGATACATCATGCAGGTTGCTGCATTGCTTGGTGTTGCAAGGGCTCGAGCGATCTCAGCATAAAAACAGTTTGATTTAAGGCCGGCTTTGCAGGGACGCCGTCGCCACAAAGATCGCCAGATGAGGCCTCCAGGGCCGTATCGCAGGGTTTGCAGAGAGACCTGGCCGATCAATCCTAGGAAGGCTTGGGGCTGTCTGTCGGCACAAGAACTAGAACTGGTCATTGTGGACTCATCACTCAACCATGCGGCACATGCGATTTAAGCTCAGGCTGACAATATGTTGGGCAAACCTCCCAAGGTCGGGACGCCGTTATCGTACTTGCCAGGTGCTGGAGAAGTCTCCACAGCCCGTGGTGGAAGTGGCCATGGCCGTCACAAACTCGGGAACGGACCAATGTGTGGAGAACATCTCAGCATCTCAAAGAAGCGCCTTAAGTTTGCTACCCGGAGATGACACAGGAGTAGTGAAACAGTGAAACATACATGCGGAAATGAGTCTTCCTATCTCATGTTTGCGCCAGTTGCAATCTGACGGGATGGTTTTGGACGCCCCAAAAGTGTATCTATATAATCTCATGAGTCCAAACCACATGAAGGAGGCCCAAAAGGACTAATAGGATCTAATAGGTATTGTTTTTTCATGAGGACCATCTCAGATTTGGCACGCGGGACACAACATTGCGAGACACTTAAGAGAAGTTTGTGAAAGACAGTCTGAGCCTTTGGACAAATGAGTTAGGCCCACAAAAGTTGTAAAATATTGTAAACTATGACTGTCTGACTCATGTGCTCCATCCATTTTTGGGCTATTTCGAGTCCTATCTCATCTGCTTTTCGTACCTTTTGCAATCCCCACCATTTCCTATCTCAGTTTCCCTAGTATAGTTATTCTGGAATAGGACAGAATAGGAGCAGACGCTGGCGAATCCCACAAAGGAACCATATACCATGAGTCGCACATTAGAATTGATTATGAATATAGTATCATTATACTCTTTTCATGTAAAATAAGTTATGATGGTTCATTATTCTTTCACCAGTTGTTAAGCTAAAGGATTCAGGATCACCAAATAAACACGCTGAATTATTCCTGGAGATTTATATAAATAGAATAAGCAGGGAAGGTCCAGACATTTAGTAGAGAAAAACACAAGCAACAAAAACACCACACCAACAACGACGACGACGACAACAACAACGACAACAACAACAGCAACAACAACATGTCCTCCATAATTTTGCTTCAGTTTTTTTTAAATGTTTTTCATGACAAATACGAAGGACATATATACATGTTAATTACATGCCTATAATTAATTGTGGAGTTGATTGGGTTTCATACCATTGGCAGGAAAGATAGATGCACATGCAATCTCTATTTTATTTGTATTTTTTGGGGCTGTTGGTTTACTGCAGTTATTGGATAAATTTCATCATGGCGAAGACCCCCTTTTCATACAGTATTTCCGATTTCATCATAACGAAAAAACACGTGATTATTCAGAGAGGACAGCGTAAGAAAGAAAAAAGAAAGCAGGTAGCAAGTTTAATTCAACAAATATCACATTAATTAAATCAGCCGGGAAGAACAGATTGAACATACGGCGGGTTGTGATTGAAATGCATACGTAGAAAACATCCAAATTAGATCAAATTAGCATAAATTAACGAAAAACATCATGGACCCCAAGATGCAGACACGAACATGACACGTAATCATGACCAAAAGATCAAAATTGTTTGCAAGAAGTTGACCACCGACCACCTATCCACATAAAAGGAGCATGAAGAAACGGATGAAGCACCAAACAGTTTTGGCAGCTCTTGGTGGTTTGTACTTGCATGGTATAGTATAGTGTAACGTTGCATTGCATTTCTGCCGGGAAAGCTTTATTGCGTGGCACAAGTCCAGTTTCTTGGACACAGTTTTGCATACTTGAAGGCCTTTCCATGCAGCCCAGTGGTTTGCCCATCTCCTGCTGAATTTGATCGAGAGGACCGTATTGGCCATCACTTGCAATGGTCTTCTGTTACATCATGCAGTCGAACAATGGTACAGGACCTTGTCAGGAAAAACATCCGCCAGGCTCCCACCCCACAACCTTTCGTCGTGAAAGAAACTCACCTTCCACAACATGTGTCACGAGCTTGGCTGCCTGGCAGCTGCCTTCATGGCTTGTCTTTCTTCCGTCTCAAACGATTGCCTTGTGCAATGCGCGACTGCGTGAATTAAAGCATCATTTGGCAGCCTGTTCAGATTGACAGTGAGTACGAGTTCAAGGAGATCATTGGCGAGGGATCCTTTGGCAAAGTTCACAAGGCACGCTGTGGCTACATACAGTTTGCCTTTTTGCTGCTGAACATGGCAGTACCAAGATGTGTTGACCATGTGGTCCCCAAACTAGGCCCAACATCGACGCACAGGAATTCTTCGTGTCGCAGACCAAGCCAGAGAAGGATTCTTCCAAGTCATGTGTTTTTCTCACTAAGGCTGTGAAAGAGATCCCTCACACTGGGACAGCAGACGAGGATTTTGAGCTTGAGCTTAAGGCGCTGAGCGCTGATCCATGTGGCGCTCAAACCCCGTGGTGCGCCACATGTAGGCCTTGCAGGCATTGGACCATCCCCACATCGTTGAGGCCACCTGTGGCATTTCTCCGCTTTTGAAGAGTCGCAGCTGTAGTAATTACTGTGGCACCCTGTCTTGAGTTTTAAGGACGCACGCTTATGCTAAGCAAGGTTTGAGTTTCATCCCTGTGCTCGCAGTTTAAATTGCCTGCAGGTGATCGAATACTTTGACGATATATCTAGCTTTTTCCTGGTGATGGAACTTTGCACAGGCAGTGTTTTTTCACTTCTTGCACATGAATGTGTCCAGCCAAGAAGCCTTGAGAAGCCTTGAGGTTGACCATGGCTCCATGGAACTTCTGTGTTTCAGCTCATCCTGTAGCTTAGTTGGCTCCCGGAGGTCCAGACATCTTCACTTATGTCCTGGATCAGATGGACTCGCGGCATGTGGCATGTTACGCTCGATGCCCTTGCCGAAACGTCCAGAGCTGTTTGCCAGGCCGGAAGGCGATGGATTCGTCCCAGAGTCTGAGATATCAGTCCTACTGAGGCGCCGAGATATGCGCTCGCAGATGCGAGGTCCATGCGGTTTCGGGTTCTGAAACGCCCCTTCACAAGGTTTGCCCTACCTGCAGGATTTCTCAAGTCCAGTCCCAACTTCCTGGCAGGGCAATAGTTTGCCAGGGTTGATCTGCAATTGAACATAATTAAGTCATGACGGGTCAAGACTTGCACTGGAGATTTGACTATGTCGCGGGTGCATAGCTTGAGGAGACCTGACACATTGTGAAGAGACCGCTTCCTTGCATCATGAGTCAAGTCAACATGAATTGAACCAGATCAACCACCAGACCCGTTCCCGTCCGTGTCACTCTCCAGCCATGTTTGGGTGGCCTTTCAATGCGTGCACTGTCTCCGCAGCCGTGGATGACAAGGATGAGCGCCTTGGAGTTGGAGAAACATGGAGGGACCCAGGTTTGTGTCCTTGACACGCCGGGTATTTGCATAATCCTTTTAGACCCTTTTAGTGTGCACAATCAACTAATGATACAACATATGCCGCATTTAACTCTGCATGCTTTTGTAGAGGCATGTCTTGTTCCCGAATGAGTAGCGAAGGGTTCCGGTTTTGTGGGCTGGACCTGTGTTCGCCTTGTGTTGTCTCGAGTCGTCGCGTTGTCGTTGCGCCACTCTGTGTTCAGCGATCAGTTCCCAAGAGACTTGAGAAGGACGACGGGATCCAGTCCACGGACGACCTGTCCCATGTCCCATACCGATGCTCGTTGTGTGACTTTTGGAGGAAGTCTCGTACAAAATGGTCGTTTTGGGGGCTTGGCGCGTGAGGCTTCGCCTTGACTCGTCGCTTTGGACATCTCGAACGCAATGCACGTTTTGAAGGCTTGATGTGACACTTTTGGATGACATCCCGTCGGACATGTCCGTTGTGAAGATGCTGTCCTCCAAAAAGTTGCGCAAAAAAGTGTCCAGCAGGAGTGTTTTACAGAGTGTCCTACAAGAGCTTGCGAAAAGTGCGTCACAAGAGTGTGCTACAGGAGTGCCCTACAAGAGTGTCCCACAGAAGTGTCTTACAAGAGTGTTCCAGAAGAGCACGTGCTACAAGAGTGCCATCGTTGGAGGCCATTCCTAGTAGGTTGGAGGCCATCGCTAGTTGTAATTTCAATTAGATTTTAATTACATTCTAATAGCAAACATGGTTACTACTAGTAAGGCACTTGTTACTAGAAGCGATGCACTTGTTACTACTAGTAAGGCACTTGTTACTGTTTGAAATCAGGTTTCCATGGGCCTCCCGACTCTTCACCCCTTCAGGCTTCCAGATCCGACGCCGATGCCCACGCGGACGGTGTCGCGCAGCGTGCCCGAAGCGACCTCAGGGGAGTGGAGGTACCAGGGCCAGGCGTGCTTCAACTAGGCCTCAAGAGGTTTGAACAGAGGTTTGAACAGCTTGATATGAGAATTCGGTCAACGGAGCTGCTCAGGACACCGAGATGAGCAGAGCTCTTAAAATGATGCAGCACAACTATGATTTCTTGGGATTGACAGGGCATGGCCTTTACAGTGTTGTAGAGGACGCCAGAATCCAGAATCAGATGGTCACGGCTCATAAACAGCCGTCGAGCAACTACGCTGCTGCGCGCAGGACTGTGAGAATGCCATTTGCGACGGTGATGAAAGTAGAGCTCGTGATATCCTTGAACGACTTGAGCATGAAGTGGAGCTTGAGGCTGGCAGCTAGAAAGGCAAGGGACCACCCTGGACCAGTTGCATATGTGACAAATGAATGCAAATGATAAGCCCACCATATCTGACTTGTATGTAAGCGGTATAGGTGGAGAAGTGGTTCCTTACCTATACTATATACATAGATCTATATAGTATATATAGTTGAATGTTGATTTGAGTGCACTGCGTCTACTTGAAGAAGTTGAAGGATTGCATAATCAATCGCACAGGTGCACTGAATTGGAGAAGGGGGGGGATGAGAAGAGTGGTGTAAGAACAGGGGAGAAGACAGGACCGGACTGACAGGGCCATTCAATGAATGAGTCGACCACACAAATAGAACAAGAATCAGTGAAAACAGCATGAACGGGGAAACTACTAGGACCATCAAACGGGGAGAGACGGGGAGAGAAACGAGTTGAGAATTGGAACGCAGGACTATTGGATCTCGCAGGAAGAGATCGATCGATCGGACAGACAGCAGACAGCCGCACGGACGGACGGAAGATAGAAATGAAAGTGAAAGAGAAACACCGAAAGGAATATGCTCCGTTCGTAGCGATGCCCTTTGCTCCGTAGCTTCTTGCTCCTAGCAGTAAGGCCAGGAGCCCCTAGTAGCGTCCTTCCTCCCTTAGAGAAGCGGAGAGGCAATAGCCTCCTGTAAAGTGTTTTTCATTTCCATCCTTGAGCTCGAAGCATCCTACATTCATTTGCAGATAACTACGCTGACAGCGGCCTTCAATCTGTTCAAGAAGCCCAAGGAAGATAGCTTGTCGGAGACGGAGGCCGCAGCTGCAATTCCGAAGGTGAATGATCGCTGGGGCATTTCCGTCGTTTCTTCTTGCTTGCCCTGGCTGATTCACTCAGCCAAGGTGAGGACAATGCTGGACTACTTGGGTTTTCCCAAGGACTTGAACAGCCAGCACGGGCAGCATCAGACATAGCATTTCCATTGAAACACAATGAAACACAAAAGTCATAAGTAGAGAATTGCACACACACACACAAGGTCAAAATATTGATTCTGTGCCTGTGTTTCATGGTAGATAGACCAGGAAGACGAGGATGTTGAGAAGATCATGAGTGCAGTGGACACGGATGGGGTCGGTACCCCAAGTAGCTACCAGACCTTTTATGAACTCTTATGTCTCAAAATCAAATTGTTCTTGTTTCGATGTTGAACGACATGCAGCATGCGTCATGCTAGTTGAGCTTTTCTTCCAAGCGCCCTCTGGTGGCCTGGTCGGCCCTGGTCGGCCCTGGTCGGCCCTCTGGTGGCTGAGGACCGCCGCATGGGGATTGAGGAGTTTCGGCTCTACGTGGGACGGATGGGCGGCAGCTTGCGGCTCTTCGAGGTCAGACGAAAGCAGATGGAAGCCAAACACGGGCGGCTTGGACACGACTGTACCGAACGGCTCACTTGAATCTCTTCGTTCAGTCTGATTGGACAACTTGGAATCCAGTTTGAAAGATCCTTCAAAACGTGGACCAACATTATACTCGCATGTAATTAGAATTAGATGGGACATTTATGCAACTGGATATGAATCCAATAACCAGAAGCTACTAGGAACAAGTGCATCGCTTCTAGTAACAAGTGCCTTACTAGTAGTAACAAGAAGATGTTAGAATTAGATGGGATATTTATCCAAAAGAATTTGCACTCATCTTTGGCGCATGCCTAGGCATTCGGGAGAAGCAGTAGATCCTGCGACCGTGCGGATGAGCCTCCTCGAGGTTGGGAGCGATCCCGGCTTAGCCGCTAAACGGTTTGCCTATTGGGAGGTCTGAGAAAGAATGGGCAGATTGGAACACGAAAACGACAGTGATAGAGTTGGCGATCAGAGATTTTGTGTAGTCTTTGTGAAGCCAAATCCATTTGGAGATGTTGTAGCCAGCTTGGCGGGATGTAGTCTATCTATCTCTCACTCCCGACATGGACGCACTCTGGTCGTGCATTCAGTAGTTCCTAAATGTTCCTAACACAGTGCGGTGAAGTTCGTGTTTTTGATGTTCTGGGCGTTGTTGGACTGCAAACTGGGGGCTGGAATTGGTTTTCAGCACCAGCGAACATTTCAGGGACATGGCTTCGCGCCCAGAGAGGGAACTTCGAAGTGTGTGTGTGTGTCGTTCTGTCCAAATACCATCTGAATTTGTTTATATTTTGGTCTTATGTTCCAATCATCAGAGTAGCGGAGCCTTAGGCACCAACTTAGCTAGATCATAGATATTCTCAACATTTTAAGAAGTTGGAGAAATAAGCGAATTCTTGCCACATGCAGCTGGTGTGAGTGCCTCTTGGCAGGCTGGGATAAGGAACGATGCACAGGCCTTGGGGGCCGTGGGTCACTCGAAAGTAGACAAGTAACTTGCAGCGGCTAAGGCTAACCATGCTCTGAGGTAGATGAGTATTGCTCCAGATATCTGCAGATATATGGTCACACGCAAGCTTCGCTCTTGCATTCAAGCATTAGCTGGTTAGCTGCACCCCAACAGGCATATTGGCGCTTGGTTGTGCCACCATCAGAGTTCACTGAAGCATCAAAGTTGGTGAATTGTCAAAAGAAAGCTGCCGAGCCCTCAGCAGCGGGCAGAGACATGGTCATACAGTTACATGTGCAACCCTGGCCTTAGAACTTGGCCGCGTGCTCAATTGCATAGGAGGAACACAAAGTAGATCAAAGTAGTCTATCAGCAGAGAGCCGGCCAGGTTAGGTCTCACTTGCATACACACTGGCTCGAAGTGCGAACGGGTAGCCCAGGTTGCGCACATCCGAGCCTTGGCGAAGCGAAATCATGAAAATGCTTTGCCGAAGCTGCAGCAGCGCATTGCTCGACTGGGATTCCAAGACACTGACCTTTGGATGACGCACTCCAGCAGCATCCAGCGATCCCATGGTCTAACCAGAGAAGCAAGCAAGTCTAATTGCTCGGGATTTTTGTTCTTTGTGCTTCTTCTCTTATGCCTTTAGAATCTGCCATGATTCTTTTCAAATCAGGCTCGCCTGGGTCCGCGAGATGGCCCCCATCATTGTACATTTGGATCTCACCAAAATGCTACAATTCCTGGAGAAAGACACCCACTATCGAAATCAGCCTGGGCCCCATAGCTGTGTTCCGGAGAGGCCTTTGTGGACCGATAGCACATGTCTTAGGTTTGAAACTGCAACGTCTGGAGGCCCTTGGAGCGAAAGACAGGCCTTCATTTTTCGATGAAGGCTTTTCCTGACTCAGGCCTCCTGAAACCAAGTACTCGGGAGAAGTGGGAGAAGGACCTTTTTGGCGGCTGCTATGATCGTGCCCAGGCCGATGTTCCGTTGGCCACACTCAATCCCAGTCCCAAACGGCCACACTGAAATCCACTGACCACATGCAGGGCTTTGACCGCTGCAAGTATGGCGTCCTGAACGCGATGAATGACCACCGTGGAGTTGTGAAGTGTGCACAGTACGGAGACAGTTACCTAGTACTGAGAGATGTGTGCCTCGACGTCCAAGCTCACTATCTCGTGTGTCTTGTGTATGGCTGATGCAGCTAGGCTGGCAAGTTGTGTGCTGCAGGCGGTTGAGGTGCACGTTCTCTCCCGAAGACTCTGCAAACCTGAAAGCAGAACGCAGGGAGCTTATGGGAGCTTGGTTCTTGTTTGCTTCAAGTTGTCACTTGGGGAAACCACGGGTGAAAGCATCGTTCGCAGGATTGGCTGTGCTAGACTTCTATGGCCATGTGTGCCAGCCTCGGGGACAAAGCTTTGGAAAGAAGTTTCGGAGCTACTAGTAGCGATGGCCTCCAACCTAATAGTGATGCCCTCCACATAGTAGCTTCTTGTTGCTAGTAGTAATGCCAGGAGCTACTAGTAGCAAGAAGTTTGCATTTAGCCCACTCCGAAACAGCAAACATGGCATGCCGTGGTTTCACGAGTCCTACAAGTACGCCTCACCGTCACTAAAGTCACTAAAGCCGAAACTGTTCAACGCTGGGACCTGTGCAGTTCGGGACCGCGGCCGCCAGGTTGTCGGAATACAGTGACGATGAGCTCCGCGAGACGCCGATGCCTCAGATGGGGCGGTGATGTTTGCAGAGCGGGGGAAATCACGTCGATGATTGCATATGTATGCATATGTGGCGTACAAGTGCAAACAGATGCAAAGGTCATAACAAATCATAACACGACAATACACGACATCACAATACCTCATATGCCAAACTGAGGATGCAGGTGGCAAAATCCTCAGATGCAGCGTTGCTGGGAGATTCAGCCAAAGTGGGATCAATGAAGTACAAGGCATCCAGCCGGTATAGTTCATGGGTGTGGGATGGTAAGTAAGGGGTACGGTATGCGCATCCATGTGCTCCACAGCATCATGCTGCCGTTTGACGAGGAGACACAGATCCACGGAGAACTCTGCTTTGCCAAGCACGTCGAACGGCTAGTAGCACACCCTCGCCACCGCAAAGAGCCTGACCAAGCGAGGGTGGAAGCAGTAGCAAAGAAGTTTGGTTGGAAGTTCTCCTGGATTGACGAGGCACATAGTCCAAACTAGAAGGACCTAATTATGCAGGAGTTCAATACAACCATAAAGCATCACCATGCTGTACCTCCTTTGTTTTCGTTCATGCACAGGTGTTCTCTAAGTTAAGCTCATTAGTGCGAATGCTTCTTCAAGGAAGCTTCCTCGGCCACCTCTAGCGCGGTGGGGGGAGGTTCCTTGAAGAAGCGTGAGCTATCCTGCGTCCTGTCGGTAGTAGCTTACTTGTAGCTACTAGCTACCTAGCTACTAGCTACTTCTAGCGGCCTACCCTCCGGTCTCTCTCTAAAGCCGTGGCCGCGCAAAGCTAGTCAACCCGAAGGAACGGAGGCGCATGGAGCGAGAAGAACGGGCAAAGCTGGGTGCGACTGCGTGGGAAGAGCGCCTGCAGGTTAGCTCCGGACATCCGGACTGACATTCGCCAGAGCAGATCAGGGCATGTGTAAAGGAATCCCGCAGTGTGGATTCTTTTTCTCTTTGAGCATGAGATCGTGATAGATCATGGTTGCAAGATGTTGCAAGGCGCTCATGGAGAAAGGAACTCCTGATATTCCTGGTATTCCTCCCGGCTTTTGCAAGCAGGACACCGAATTTCTTGAAGTTTGAAGCTTCATGTGTGGCTTGAGGAACCATGCTCAGCTCACGCATTCACATGGTGTGAACATGCCTGAATCATATCGAGTCGCAGGGATGTGGGCGCAAGGTTGCGCCTGGAACGACTAAGAGTGGGAAGCCATTTGTCACCTGCTGCCGCGGATGTGTCATGGGCTTTGGCCATGACATGCATTGTGGCTCTTCGGCTGAGCTTGCAACGGTGGCGAGGAATGAAAGGGGAGGCACTGGATTATCAAGTTGGAACACAATGCTAAACAGGCAAAACAATGCTAAACACACTATCCCACTCCGACTCGACTGAGGTAACATTGATCCGGAGAAGTTGGGCCCTGAGAAGTGCAAGCCAGGGCTCCCAAGGGCGCACGAGAACAGGAAGCACGCCAATGGCGGCAAGTATTATGTAATCAGGTAACACCATGCATAATAATACACTTAGACTCAAAGTTCCGGTCGGGGAACATAATGTCCAGTGGCTTTCAGTTATGCAAAACGCTTGACTCTGTAGTTGGTGCAAAACCGCAAGATTGCTGGGTCGGTCAACTTGAAGGTGTTTTAACAATGAATGCTGACAGCGGCTATGGGACATCGGCTGAAATGCAAAACGCAAGCGCGGCTGCTAGAGAGGTAGGTTCCATAGCTCTATATATAAGTAAGTAAAAAACAAATAAAGCCTCCTGATTTCTAGCTAGGGTAGACTAAAAGGAAGGAGAAGCCTCCTGTTTAGCTAGGGAGCGAGACTGACGAATCGCTCCATTCAGGTAGAAAAGGACAGGGAACCGACAGACAAGTCTGCCGACGAACCCTGCCTCGTGTTTTGGGCGAGACACAAGAATCACCCACTAGACTAGAGCAGGTACATGGGACTGGCCAAGTCCCATATCCCGCGATATCACCCAGCTTCGCTGGTCAAGGTTGGTGATATCACGCCTTGACCCCCTGCTCAAACGGTGGGACAAAGCCGAGGGGAGGGGCGTCAAAACGAGCCTCAAGAGCAACCTAACAAGCTTGAAAGAACACCTAAAAAATGAAGAAAGCCGCAAAAGAGAAAAGGGTGGGGGAGAAGAGAAGTTGTGAATTCCATGCAGCCGCAGGAACCTGTCATGAAAGCTCTGAGGCAAGTAGTTCCAGTGAAGAGCCAACGTGAACTCGTCAGTAAAATTTCAGCCAGAAGATTCGTGAAAATCAGCTGAGCTGTCATCGACTTCGGTGAGAAACCCATTCATTTCAGAAAGTGATTGCCAGAATGGTCTCAGCGCCCCTTGCGGGGACCACACTGCACACCCAAGTGGGAAGATGCAGCAGGTCACACTTAGACTCAAAGTTCCGGTCGGGGAACATAATGTCCAGTGGCTTTCAGTTATGGAAAACGCTTGACTCTGTAGTTAGTGCAAAACCGCAAGATTGCTGGGTCGGTCAACTTGAAGGTATTTTCACCATGAATGCTGACAGCGGCTATGGGACATCGGCTGAAATGTAAAACGCAAGCGCGGCTGCTAGAGAGGTAGGTTCCATAATGGAGCGGGACAGGTGAATCGCTCTATATAAGTGAGTAAAGAGGAATTAAGCCTCCTGATGTCTAGCTAGGGTAGACTAAAAGGAATGAGAAGCCTCCTCTTTAGCCAGAGAGCGAGACTGACGAATCGCTCCATTAAGGTAGACAAGGAAAGGGAGCCGACAGACAAGTCTGCCGACGAACCCTGCCTCCTGTTTTCGGGCGAGGCGCAAGAATCACCCACTAGACTAGAGCAGGTAGATGGGACTGGCCAAGTTCCATATCCCGCGATATCATTGGTGATATCGCGCCTTGCCCTTGGAAACGGGTTGTGACATACATACATACGTACATACGTACGTACATACATACAGACAGACAGACAGACAGACATACACGTATAACATATATACATATATACCTTTTCATGCGCACACACACAGTATATGTTTGTTTTGATTGCGTTTTTTCTCAATTTGTTATGCAACGTTGCTCAGAGGGAGAGGGGGGGGAGAGAGAGAGACCAGGTGTTACCCTCCCACGCCTCCCGCCCTGATGCAGGTATGGCTGTGGACGGCCAGTCAACCCCGGCAGACATCCGTCTGGCCGTCCCTATGATACATGCTGCCGGGACTGCAGCTCCGGTAGCCATGATCCGATGTGCGGCAAAGAGGCGCTTTGCGTCGCTTTGGTGTTTTTGCATTACACCAATTTATATTCCCTTTCTTTCTATTTATATCTATATTTATATCTATCTATATAAATATATGTTCTCTCACGTCAGTCCTCTAGCCGCACAGACTCGACACTTTAAAGGTGCTCATGGCTCGTAATTATTGAGCTTTCCACAGCCGGTTTCCCGTGGCGTGTGCTTCTATTGCAGGCATACCTCACCATAACGTGAGCATTCGCGTGCAATCATGTGAGACAAAATGTTCAAGTTGCTTCAAGTGGAGGGAAGGCTACCCCGCTAGTAACATAGTCGCACAAGTCGCAGACCATTGGTGCACCAAAGATCGGCCTTGCGCTAGGTTGACTCAAAGGACGAACCCGTGAAGCCGGGCTTTTGCAAGATGAGGTGTGGCCTGATGACATCGGGTTTCTATTTATTGCGAATCTCCGAGGAAGAAAGAAAGCAAGCCATAGACATCGACAGAAATAGACCAGAAGACACTGCGACACCAATGTGCTTCTTGTTTTCATGAGTTCGTCCCTGGATGGTCTATCAGGAATCCTTGCGGCATTCCCACAGCCAAACAGCGCAGGTGTGGTCGAAGAGTGGCTGAAACCAAAGATGGGAGAAGCTTCGACACTTGCACCCCGGCTGGCGCAGCGCAGGGGCGTGGCACAGCTTTCGGTTTAAAGTGCAGATATGCACGGAAGTGTACTGCAAATGTGTTCACAGACATGCACTCGGCACTTCCAAGGTTGCAGGGGCTGTGCCTGTGGCACTGGGCACAGCAAGGTCTGTCGTCCTCCAAAGGAGTGACCCGCAACAGGCACTGCATTTACAGATGCAGCCTCGTGCTTGGCCAAAGTGCTGCACATGTGCATCCTTTCCAAAACTCCGGAAAAGTGGGTCAGTGAGCAGTGGCGCTTTCCGCTGGTCAAGCAAGTAGGATCAGGCATGCGCGGCTATCCTTACTAAAAGGCCGTAAGAACGACATTAAAGACACTTTCACTGGCAGGCAGTGTTTGAAGTCAGTGCTTTGTTGTCATGCTCACGGATTTGCTAGCACCCAAGTGGATTCATATGCAAAATGAAGCAATAGTTCACATGCGCCTGTTCAAGGAAGGCACTTAGTGGATCTTAGTGGCAGCGGCCAAGGTACACCGAGACCTGAATGCCAAGAACTTTATGATCACAGGTGATGACAGGAGAGCTTTGGGAAGCCTCGCATGCAATTCTGCTGGATGGATGGCCTCCACCCTACTAGCAATGGCCTCCAACCTACTAGCAATGACCTCCACCCTAGTAGCGATGGCCTCCAACCTGCTAGCGATGGCCTCCAACCATCTCCAACCTACTAGCGATGGCCCCCACCCTAGTAGCACATAAGCGTTAGCATACTTCCCTGGCGCAGGACGGTGAAGCTGATTGATTTTGGACTGGCCACTCGCTTCTATGGATACCTCCCCCAGGACCAGTACATCGAGATTGCAGGCTTAACCCTTGCGGTTCTTCAAGCTCATTGTGTAGATTTGCTGTATGTGTATGCAACGTAGTCTCTTGATTAAGAAAGATCAGTCAAGCGTCTACATTATATGTCATAGTTTGGGTTGCCCCCCTCCCCGGAAACACTCCAAAGATGATCGACCACTGGCAATGTCCACCGGCGCACAGACGTGGCGGTGCTGAAGCCAGGAACTCCCTGCCCCACACACAGTTGGAAGAGCAAGGCCTTTATCCCCATTGCAGGCACATCTCACTACATGGCGCCGGAAATGATGATCAGTGGCAAGTACAGCCAAAAACTCAGATTCGTGGGTGGCGTCGCATGACGGACGGGTTTGACATAGACACTGTCGAGCTGCCAGACCGCCATGCGACAGGTCCGGCTGTTGACATGTGGTCTCTCGGCACCTTGGCACATGCATTGTGGGCATTTTGCTGCCATTTGGGGCACCCTACACGTTTCTTCACAGACGCCCTCGGCCCCTTGCCTTTCAGACAGTCCTTGACAAAGGGCTGCTACAGGTGTTCTTCTCTACGTGTGCTTAACTGGGTGGCTTGGCTGGATTGCTTTTGGCACCTCAACGGCTCACTGAGTCCAGATGTGAGGCTCATGCTGCTGCCGAAGGACGACGACCGGAAAAAGCATTTGCTTGGCAAGAAGGTGCCATGCCGATCTGGTAGGCCCTTTCCCTGTCCTCTTTGCCACGTCTCCTCCTGTGGACGTCTCTCCTTGAGACACAAGTTGCGTTATTCTCCTGGCAGGTCTTTAGCAGGTTTTACTTGGGGGATGACCTCCCACTTGGACCGGATTGACAGAAATGCATCCATGTTGGAAGGGCTGGGGGTTCTGCGAAGCTGTGGTGGGTCTTCGGCCGTTGGATTGAGCCTACTAAACGACAAAGATTTCCCGCTGCACACCAGACACAGTGCCAATTGCAGCCCAGTTTAGGCATACGTCGAGAAAAAGCTGGAAAAATGCACACAGCTGCAAAAGCGGGCTTGCTCTGCACAGGCACAGTGCTGATGGTACTGTTAAGGGAGAGCTGGCATTTCTCGCATGAACAAGTATATATAGTATAAGCGGGCTTTCTTTCGCTGCACAATTGCAGACATATGGCATATGGACAACCTTTAAATCTATGTTGCGATGTTCGGTGTCCCTTGCATGAAGGGCAACTGTCCCAATATAAATCTCAGCTTTGGAGGCAAGGGACCTTTTGAGGATGATGCCCGGCGCCCAGTGTTCCACGGTACCATACGATACCTTGTTGTACTGGCTGAGGCATCCTGGGTGGCTTCGATTCATGGTATCAATCATTTTTGTTTTTTCTGATAGGAGGGGTCTAGACTGGGTGCTTTTTTTGTTGGTCAACTCTGGGCTTAGGCAATACACTTCAGGAAAGAGTATCGATGTCAACCTTCACTCCCATGATGTGGGTAGCCCTGAACCCGGTTTGTCACACACACATACATATTTTTATATATATATATATACATATACCGTATCTCTATATTCTATATATATATATGGTGAACATTAGTGAACTAGAGACAATATTGCACTTGCTGCGCTTGCAACAAAGCTATTGCCAACATTTCCTGGGGAAGCCACTGAAGTTCAGGTCACTGCGCTCCATGTCCCAACTTATGCTTACCTGTGGGGGATGCACCCGCATGTGGAAAGTTGCAAAGGGTGTACTTAGCAAACCTGTACTGTACAACAACGCAGCGACTACCAAACACGATAGTCACAGCACAGCAGAACACAGTTTGCTTGCAGGTTTTTCCGGTTGCTCACTTGCCTACAAGGCTAAAATACGACCCAGCTGAACGCATTTCTGCGTCAGAAGCTTTGCACGTGCCTCAGTTCTGAGCAGCGTGTGGAGGGTCCGCAACTAGTTACAGTATCTCAACTCTTTTTGTTCTTGCTTTCCATCTCGGAGCCCACATTGCGAGCAGTAGGATGGGCTTGACAATGCCGAGGTCTCATCCATTCATATTGAGCGCCCTGGCGCGAAATTGGGGCTCCAATCAAAGTCACCAAACTTGGATTGACCATGATAGACCCAATGTAGATCAGAGGTGTGTGCATAGGCGGAACATAGATTTCTTTGCCCCGATGCCACTTCATAGCAGTCGTAGCACCTACGACGGCCGTGTCACATTCGGAAGCGCTTTGTGAGTCTGCAAGACTGCCAGAACATTGCCACGAATACCTTGGCGGTGCAGTGGCAGCCACCACGCAATTGGATGAGACCGTCATTGACAAGCTGAGGTTGCAGCCTTTGGGCCTTCGCTTCTTTTTTCTTTTGATTGAACTAAGTGGTCCATTTTAGAGCTAGTGAGTAGTGCAAGCGGTATGAAGGGCATCAAATCAAAGCTGTGAAGTCGCCCAGGAGTTTTGCGAAGGCACCGAGGTTGAAGAAGGCACCACAGTTTTGGTTTGTTCAATGGTTCAAGCACTATTTTTTTTTTGAAGAGTCTCTTTTGGTCCCTGACTTGAACAAGGTGGCCCAGCTGTTCATGGCACATTTGGCAGAGCATGATGCTGAACTACTGGTGTGCAGCCTATTGAGGAACGCCAGAAAGTGGATCTTTGACCTACTCTCACTCAGTTTCCAGTGCGTATGCATTGTTGAGGGTCCGACTTGCAGTGACACCAAGGCGGCGCGCCACAACTTTCGGACGCTGGATCAAAGCGGCGTCAACTCCTGAGGATGTTGGAACGCATCAGGTGACACCATCCCACCCGCCATCATGCCAACTCTGGTGCTTGTGCCCTGTACCCAGCTCATCCCAGCTCTCCTGTCTCAGGATGGTGAGATCACGCGTGAAGAGCTTGAGGCATGCCTAACAAGGTCAAATCTGTGGGAGCATGGGTCAAGGTGTCAATGATGTCCAGGCGGGTCTTCTGGCTGCCGGCATAGACCCACCCACAGACATGGCAGAGATATTTGATGGCTGCTGCTGGCCACTTAGACAGACCAGCTTTTAGCACAACCTGTGACTGTACCTGTCACAACCTGTGATTTTCAGGCGCGCACCCAGCGGGCAAGTGCGCCTGCCGACCCGTGAGTGTTTCGATTGGCCCACGAACCAGGTTTAGTGGCCTGCGGCCTGACGGTTAACTTCCATTAACTTACCATTAAATTAACTAGACTAGCCTGTGGACAACTGCCTGAGACACCTTGGACAGGAGCAAAAGAAAGCTTTTCATCTCCGTGCAAAAATGTCGGGGTGGTGCTTTCCCTTGCCATGGTGTTTTCCCTTCCCACGCGCACCGCTTTTCCCTTCCGTAGGAGGATTTGGGTTGGGTGTTTTCTGTTTCCAGTCTGGTGCTTGCTCTTCCTTCCCTAGTAGGAGGATTTGGGTTGGGTGTTTTCTGTTCCCAGTTTGGTGGTTTCTCTTCCCACTCGAGTTATGTCTTACTTTCCCAAGCGTTTTCTTTGTTTTTCAATTATCTTCCCGCTATGATGTTGGTGGGTGTTTTCTGTTTTGATTTGAGAACGCCCATAGGCAACCACAGTGCCATTGGCCGAGACCCCATCATACACTGTCCAGGCTCCACTTCGTAGAGTTCTTGGCCTGCACCATGTAGCAACCTGAGTGGAGTGACCGATGAGATCCGATGACACTCTTTCATTGTATGGGTGCGTCATAGGAGGTGGTCGGGCCACACCCTTTTAACTCCCCTTGTGTGACCTAGTGCGGCATACTGCATTTGTGACACCATCTTTCGAGGCCTGAGAGCCTCATAGATGAAAGGTTATGTCATGAGGCCGACCTGAAGTTGAGCTGTCATGTTTGATTCGATGAGCTACGGTGCAGGCCTTCAGCCTCCTTGACCCGGACTGAAGTCAAGATAAATACTAACAGAAATGAACAGATGCCATGGATTTGTGCTTCACAATTGCGTCAAAAGAGACCTCTTGGCCTTCCAGGAGTCCAAAGGTCGATTGGCTGCCGAAGACCTGCAAGCAGACTCGGACCCAGGATGTGCAGCGTCTTGTGAATGCTGCAGACGGCTGACAGACAATCCAAACAGCGAACGGCGTCAATGAGGTTTGCCGCTTTGATTGGGAGAGGTGTGGACCGCAAGCGCAGGTCCGATGTGTTCTTTTGCAGTTGCAGGTGCCGGAAAATGGTCCAACAAGCCAAATCTGTGGATGAACTTGAGCCGCAATTTTCCAATCACCAGCCTTCGGCCATAATGGCTTGACTCATGGCATAAGGATGGTACAAATTACTTTGATTTTGATGACTTTTATGCACTCTTCTGCAGCCAGGGCCTCAATGGCAATTAGTTGTGATGTTGTTGGAACAGATTCTTTTTAAACAAAAATCACATCAATACCAGTGAGAGGTGTACAGGAAGATGTGGAAGAGCGGTGGGTCTCTCAGCAATTTGTCACCGCAAGACGTGATAGAAGGGGAGCACTAACCGAGGCCAGCCAAAATTGCGCGGGTTGACACAGGTTCAGGTGGGAGTTACTGTAGCTTGCTGAACTCAATCAGCAACATGACAGGTGCTGACATGTCAACATTCACAGGCATTCCTGCATCAACCTAGCTATTTCACATTGCACCAAAACGGCGCATATTGTACATATATGTGAACTTGAAAATAGATCGTGATTTGGGCCATAATTTCGACGAAAAGAACATTTATTCTTGAATGTATATGAAATTATATACATCTACATATTTAACTAAATTCTAAATATGTTTATATATTTCCCCAAACAGTTTACTGTTAGGGGTTCTCAATGCTTTAAAGAATGGTCGCCTTGGTGCTGGATGGTCTGGTCGGGTTCCCGGCTCTGTGCTTGTGGTCGGGTTCGCGGCTGGCTTGTCTCCCACTTCCTTTCATTTGTCTCCCACTTCTTTTCATTTGTCTCCCAGTTCTTTTCATTTGTCTCCCAGGCTGGGTGCTTGTGGTCGGGTTCCCGGCTGGCTTGTCTCCCACTTCCTTTCATTTGTCCCCCACTTCTTTTCATTTGTCTCCCAGTTCTTTTCATTTGTCTCCCCAGGCTGGGCGCTTGTGGTCGGGTTCCCGGCTGGCTTGTCTCCCACTTCCTTTCATATGTCTCCCACTTCTTTTCATTTGTCTCCCAGTTCTTTTCATTTGTCT